ACCAGCTAGCCTCTAGGTAATAAAAAGAGGAACAGCTGAGTGAGTGACACAGCATCCCTCTGCACACTTCAGAAGCATTTATCTTATGTTGTTAGGCCTGAGAAGTATATTTGTATGCCCTAGAGAAACTGTTTCTAATCAAAGTTAAATGGAAACTGAAATCCCTGATCTAAACACATGGTTGGAACTACTTCATATCTAGTGTTGGGGCTTAAGAAAAGGCCTAGGCAACTGGATGCATGATTAAAGATTAAAGGAATTAGTATTATTTGGTTTGGAGAAAGCACAAGTAGGAAGTGCCGGACCATGAATCTTTAAACGTGATGTTATTATTTAGAAGACATTGACCAGCTGTTTCCAGCTCCAGTATGTCCTGAATGTAAGAAAATTATTTAAAACAGCGACACAAAAAATACAGGCTAGATCAAATGAAGAACTCACACACTCTAGTATGAAGCTATTAAGGGCTAGAAGGGACTGTATGAGTGGCTATTATAAATATTTAATACTTGAGGGAGCTCATGTCCAGCCATTTCAATCCCACAGTATATGGGCTGCACAGACATTCATTTGGGTAAAAGAAAAGTAACTATTGACATGATTACATAAATTATAAGGTGGTGATTTTATATACCACTGTAAAGCAAAAAAATGGTTGTTAGGATACTTATTTTTCTTTTAAGTCATTGATGTCTTCCTCAAATTAAGCTAAATGTCGAATCTTTGCCACACATGCTGCGATTCTTTGATCCCATGGTCATAACAGAAAGGCATTCAACAGAGTGAAGGAAAACTGTATCTCCTGAAGTTTCCACAGTTTAAAATTTTCCTAGTGATGGTTACAAGCCGAAATAGCTATGAGTTAATGAAGCCCGTGTGGGTGAGATCGTGCTTTGCTCCATAAGCAGAAAGAGACTGGGCTAATTAAGTCATAGACAGAAGACGGTGCTGCTAGTAAGTACATAAACGTTCTAGCGTAAGGACAGAAATAAAGTTCATTAAACAAATCAGTTGTGTCAAGTTTCTAAAATTCAACACACACAGGCGTAAGGACAGAGTATCTCCGCCACTAACTGAAATACCTTTGTCTTTCTCAACATCATGAAGATTTCTTCCAGTTTCTTTTAGAAGTTTTATAGATTTAGCTTCTCAATTATATCTATATTTCAATTTAATTTTTGCTGATAGTGTGAGATGAAGATTAAACTTCATTGTTTTCCATTTTGGTATCCTATTGTTTCAACAGAATTTGTTGAAAAACTCTCCCCATGAATTACTTTAGCGACTTTGCTGAAAATAACTGATCAAATATGCATGGATCTGATTTTGAACTTTCTATTCTATTCCATTGATTTATATGTCTAATTTTATACCAGTGCCACATTCTCTTGAACATCGTAGCTTCATAATATTAGCCATTTATACATTTTCCTTGAAGAAATATCTACTCAAGTCTGCCTTCTCACAGGTTTTCAGCAATTTGATTATGATTTGCCTTTGTGTGATTGTGTATGTGTGTGTGTTTGCAGTGTGTGTGGGTTTAACACTGCTTGATATTGTCCCATGTGTAACTGGTGCTCTGTTCTTTTTTTTCCCAGCCACATTTCTTTTCTTGCTTCGATTTTGGAGAGATTATATTTTATTGACTTTAAGTTTATTGATCATTTCTTCTTTAGGGCTGAAACTTCTGATACCAGTCAGATACCAGAAAATTTCATTTCTAACATTTTATTTTTTCATATATTTTTCATCTCTAGATGTTCCATGGTTCTTTTTCTAAAGTATATTTTTCTCCTCGTTATGTTCATGCTATCTTTTAAACACTTGAACATCCTATAGTAGTTCTTCTTAACCTCTTCTTTTAGTTCTCTTAGTCCTGACACTTTTTTTTCTGATTTCTCTCCCTCGCTATGGGTCACAATAACCTGGTTCTTGGCATGTCTACTAATTTTTTTCTGGATGTTGGACTGCACGAATTTTATGTGTCCAAGTACGTAGATTTCAATGTCTTCCTTGAAGAGTGTTTCACTTTGTTCTGACAGGCAGTTAAATTACTTGTTGATAAGTTGGACCATTTTTAGGTCTATTTTAAAGATTTTTAGGGCAGGTCTAGAGTTGTAATCCAGTCTCCACGGGTAGTTCAACTCTAATTTCAAGGTATCATACTTCTGGGGTCTTCACTGAACACCTGGCTTATCTCTAAGGGCTCTCCATTTTGATGTCAGAGCTCAATTTCTTCTTGTATAAACACTAGGAATTGTTTAGCTTATAATTCCCAATTGTTCTTTGCCTGGCTTTGTGAAGTTTCACTATAATCACATCCAGCTTAATACTCAAAAAAGACTCAAGGGAGCTGCTATGCACATTTTTGGAGGTTTCTGTGAATATGTCTCTCCTTTGTGAAACTCTGTGCTATAATTTCCAACCATCTCAGTCTTCCTGAACAGTGATTTTCATCTCCTCAGTTCCGTGAGGCCACTGTGTTTTCTTGTGCTCCCACCCCTGCCCTCATATCTGTGGTTTGGAAACTGCCTTTAGGTAGAAAATTGGAGCAATTGTAGGGCATACTTTGTTTTCCTTCTCTCAGTCATCACATTCTGTGCTGCCTACTGCCCGAAGTTTGAAAGCAGTTGCTTCATATATTTTCTCAGTTCCTAATTGTTTACAGCATGTTAGGTCCAATATTTGTCACTTTGTCATGACCCACAGAAGAAATCCATAACTGATTTTTACATTTTTAAATTAGGGACTATTTCAAGTCCACAAAAAATTATAGGAAGATACACCCACTTTAACCAGATTAAAAACTATTTTACTCTTATGGCTCAGATCATTTAATAGGAAAGAAAAAATGTTATGGATGTAGTTAAAGCTTTATTTACCTCAAGCCTATTTTTTTCTCTTCTATATTAGAGGGAAACAGTGTGTATGTTTCTTAAACATATTTTAATACTTTCATTACAAATCTATTTGCCCATAAACACTATGTAACATGGTTTTCTTCATATTTCATCTCAGTAGCAGGTTCTCTCTACTAACATCTAAGACTTTTTCTGCCCATACAGAGCCCATCCTTTAGACCTGAGGGTAACACTCATGTAGAACACTGCTTCTTCCCTGTGGAGTCTTTACCTCATTGGCACCTTAACCCCACACATTTCTGCTGCATTAGCAGAGCCAGACTCTTACGTCTTCCTCCTCTGCTCACTGAGTGCTGTCTCCGACTTGGGCATTACCAACTACTGCAGTCATGAAAGTGGCCCTAGTAAGAAAGGGCAGATGTAAAGCTCAAATCTCATACTCTCTTTTTCTTAAGGATCACAGAATACACAGCTTGCTGCCCATACCACAAACAACTGAAATGTTCTCTAAAATCCAGTTTTATAGTTGCTTATAATAGGAGACTAAGTCTGAAACCAAATCATGGCTAGGAGCAGAAGTTTCCACATAGCCTTAAAAAGTGACATAACTGAAATGCATTACGTAATAATACGTATTCTTAGAACTTCTCTTAATACAAAACATAACTGTTGAAAGTAAAATTCATACATACCACACTCTCACCTCAAGTTTCCTTTCTTTTGGTTAAATCAATTAATTACTCTCAGAGCTTCTCTGTGCCATTTGACACTGGATTCTTTTCTGTGTCCATAAGCCACTTCTGTGTCATATGTCCTTTTCATTCTGCTTAGTTTCTGTGGTGTCTCTCTAGCCCTCTTTTGATAATATACTGAACTCCCCTGTCCCATCTCTTCTATCCCATCAACAGAGTCATCAATTACCTTTTCAATTTCCAAATCCAATGAACAATTTTCAGTTCCTATTTTGCCTTATCATTTACTTTTTGACACCATTTTTGAAACATATTCTTCCTTTAGCTTCTAATTTTCCTTCTTCCCTAACAGTTTAGTGTCTTTTTAAAAACATTTTTTGCATTTTAAAAAAGCTTTTATTTTTATTTTTAATTTTTTTGTTTTTTGGGGGGAGGTAGTTAGGTTTATTTATTTATTTGTTGTTTTAGTGGAGGTACTGGGGATTGAACCCAGAACCTCGCGCATACTAAGCATGCACTCTACCACTTAGCTATACCCTCCCCAATTCAGTGTCCTTTGATGTTCTTTTTCCTCTGCACATTCCTTGAATGTTGATATTTTTAGGTTCTCTCATTTCTTTCCATACATTCTCCTAGAGCAATTACTTCCACTCTAGAGTTTGTAGGGTGAAAATTAAGCTAATGTAACACGGAGACCCTATAAAGTCCAATCACTTAAAGAACAAAGAAATTTTTTCAATGTCACCCAACAGTCCAAGGTAAATACTTAGGGTAGTGGGAAACTTTGCTCCAAGGATGTAGGTTTCTTCTCAATCACTGCTTCACCATGCTATAAGGCATTGCTGTGGTCTCCATGGTCAGTGCTGGGTTGTTCCAGGGTCCATTGTTCATCCATTGGAAAGAAGCAAAAAATATAGAAAAGACATTCCAGTTGCCTTTACCCCTGTTCAGGGAATTACCATCATCATTCTCTTGATTAGCATTCATACATCTACTATTTTCAACTTTGGTCCATTTTCTACACATCATCCAGGATGATCTTTTAAAAGTACAAACCTGCTCATGTCACTTAAAAGCAATGGTTAAAAAGATAAAGTCCTAACCCCTTAACTTGTTTTATAAATCTTACTACATTCTAGCTCTGTATGCTCAGCTATATTGAGGATCATTCTTTCATCTTTTTAAACTCTGTAGTCCAGCAGTATTCAAATAATCTCAGTCTCTTAATGTAATATGTTCTTTCTCATCTGGTTTTTTCATATCTGTCATTGCCTTTGTCTGGATCTCTCTTTCTCTTTTGCTTGCTGTTTTCCATCTTTCACTCATTCGTCAGGTTTCAGCTTAAATTTTACTTCCTCCAGTGAATTTGTAAGTGATTCTAATTTAGATAATTGGAGAAATAATTGAAAAAGAATGTAGAAAATATAATGAGAAGTATTAATAAAACTACTGACTTAGCAACCTACTGTGTATACACTCATTGGCTATAATTTTTAGTACAAGTTCTGTTGCAGATGGCAGGCACATTTAACTGAAAACTGTGAAACCTTAACTAGATTCACTAAAATTAGGCATCATCCAATTACGAACATGTATATTTACATCCCTGAATCCAAATGTGGTAATGTAGAAGCAGCATCTGGGCATTTATTTAGGCATTTTCCCTCTGCTCAACTGCCGTATTTTTTGTGTGCTCAGATATATTCTTTATAACAGGACATAGCTAGTGAGTTCTTCTACAATGTCAGTTCAATTAACAATTTAAAAATTGAAATCTACTGTGCCTATCCTATTGTTTACACATGAAAATGGGTAGTTTGGCCTGGGTATCTTGGCACACATGCTATATTTATTTTTAATCTGACTCATCTCCAGTTTAATTTGAAAAATTGCCTATGTCACTGACATTGCCAAAGATATTTCATCAAAGTCTGCACTTCATCAGATCTCCAAGAAGACGGGGGAGAATTATGATTTTTCTAAGGTGGCTCCAGTAATTTCAGGCTTGGAAGAATTTTTTTTTCTTTTAGACCATCCTTATTAAAATGCTTTCAGTATAAAAATTCATCCCAATAAGCTCCATCCATCAACTATTTTGGCTTTCACCATACAGATTTTTATCCAGAACTTCTTTATATATCTTTTTTGTCTTGTATGGGACTGATTCTGTGCATTTCTTTTATTTTGTATAGAGTTGACTCTACAGTTTTCAATTTCTCAACTAACTATTCCATGATTTAGAGGAAAAATACTTGCTTTACATTTTATATAGTACTTAAGACAATACATATCATATATTAGCTACTTAGTAAATAACTGAGAACTAAGAAGTCTATGGACACCAATGAAATGACTAATAGGGGTAATTCTTCAAACACTTGAGGAAAAGATATAAGGATATAAAATACTGCCATCTTAATGAATGTTTTATTATTTTCTTCCAAAGAGAGTCATTCCCTAAATTAATCTCTACAGGTTCCTACTTTAAGTAAATAAATGCTAATAAAATAATTTACATAATAGTAAACTAATAAGTCACAGTATTAAATTCTATGTTTTGCTATCGTTCTTATGAAGAAATTACCCGTGAATCTTTATAATGGGAATATAACAGACTTAGTAATATGCTAGCTGCTCTTTATTGCACCCAAACTGTTCCCTATTTCCCATCATTTCTGGTGGTGAAGTGAGGAATGAAATTTTCTAGAAAAGAGCACAGTGAAAGGTTCACAGCATGGTAACTGAACATATAAACTTTCAGAAGGATTTACAAAGGAGGAAGCAACAAAAGGACTGAGTCAGGAGATTCTCTGTGAAAATGGGAAAATGTCAGGCTAACTATAAAAGTAATATCACTAGGGGAAGGGGAAAGAAGGCTGGAGATGGTGTTGTGGAGCTGAGTCATGTGAAATTCCACGAACCCCTACTTCCTCATCCCGATAGAAAGAAATGACATGCCTGTAACTTCAGGAGATATGAGGGTTTCGTAGTAATAGGAATCGTATGGAAGATTGGCTGTCACAAATGTGAACACCAACTTCATAGTAGAGGTATCATTTTTAGGGGTGCAAATAAATGTCTCAAATATTTTCCAAAAGAAGGAAAATGAAAATGCAAGTAAAGATCAGAATTACGTAAGATCCAGGTGAAGGTGATGGGATGTCTATGTCACTTGTGAATTCATTTACCCAGAATTTTCCCCAAATCACAAGCCTATAAATGGCAGAGTGCAAAGTTCACAGGCCTGTTTTTAAACAAGCTTTCACTGAAACATGGGCATTATTAATTCTTGGCCTAGATATCAGAGGATAGTTCAAGACATAAGCAGCAGGGTAACTGAAGAAGGTTAGGGGTCAAACCTGTACTGAATCATCTCAAGAATGATTGTTCCAGAATCTTCTAGCTAATTACATTAAGTTTTACAATGTGAAATTACAAACAGTAGACCGCTTTTGTTTTTAAAAATATTTATGATGATTAACTGGCTAGAAGAGACATTTGGACTATTTCCTACACTTTCATCCCTACTCTGCAACCCCAGCAGTTGTAAGAGCTCTTTCATGCTGCACCCAAGTTACCAAGGAAAACCAGAGGACAAGTCTCAGAGAAACAGACTGTCTTTCCAAAAATATTTTGCCCCCAGTCCTTAAAGTTCTACCAAAGTAGTGACCCAGTACACAGTGACTGTAAACATTCCCAGCACATTGGAATCTGACGGTTATGCTTAGAAAATTGTGTGAGTTTCAAATGGTTTGGGGTATGTTTTTTTTCTTTTTATGTTAGGTGAAACTACTGTTATATTACAGTGAGGTTAGTGAAAATTTTGCGAGGAACTACATATCTTTTTGAGGCCTGGTGTTTTTTGAGCTCAACGGTGCTTTCCAGCAGAATCCACAGTAAATATTATTGCATATAATTACATTAACCATATCAAGCTAAACTTTAAAATACTGATAATTATCCCAATAATAACATTAGAGAATTAAAAAGTGTGCATATGTCCCCACACATGTGCACCTTCAAAGCTTAACTCTTTAATACGAGACTTACAGACATAACCACTCTAGGGGCTGGGGACTATTAACTTTGTTTAAAACTAATCACATTGCTTAAAAATGGCTTCGTGCTTGACTTTGAGAATCCTGAGGAACACGCTAAGAAGTTGTTTCTAGGCAAAAGAATAACAATTCTTTAGAGGAGTCAGTGTCTTCATGGCCTGGTTCTCTTACAGCCCAGGCTCTCAGAATTTAGCTCTGACTGACATAATTAAGAAATACCAACTCATTCTCATCGTTTTAAGTCTTGAAGGCATGAGTAAGTTTTCAGGAGACAGATCTAGGATACTTTGGAAGCACTGGGTCTGGAAGTTTCAAAGGAAGCTGACAAATAAGCAGTAATCTAAATTCCCTACAGTTTTGTCTGAACATTTCACTAGGAAAATTTACATTTTCCTCCATGTCTATGTAAACTGAAAATTTTGCAGTTACAGTTTTGCCACTGGATGATGCTCTTGCATTTTCAGTAAGGGAAAATCAAGCTTGAATTATATTTTACTGTCACTATAAGTCTGGCCAGAAAGTAACCAACAATAGCATTACAATGGAAAATTTTGCAAACTGGCATCTTGTAAGCAGCAGCATTGAAAGAACTAGATGCCAGAAAGGTGAAGTGGAGAAGACTATACTATCTCTATTTTATTCTGTGTCTGCAAATGCTGTGGTTGGGGTGATATTTTGATCTAATAACCATGTGGGGTTTTTTTGCCACTGCTCCCAATAATGCTTTTATTTACGGCCCTGTGGCTCTTGACATACGAAATAGGCACGAGATATCCACTGCCTCAAAGAAATGTTGTTATAGCACATTTAGATAATTTAAAATTCATATTCATAAATTAGAGGTTTGGAATTTGCAGATAACATATATATACTACTATGTAGAAAATAAACAACAAGGTCCTACTATGTAGCATACAGAACTATATTCAATATCTTATAATCACCTATAATGAAAAAGAATACATATATCATACATATATACAATTGAATCACTATGCTGTACACCACAAACTAACACATTGTTAATAACTATACTTCAATTAAAAATTCATACTGTCAGCTTTTTAATCATAAAAGTCAGTGTCCATAAGAAAGGGGGTAAAAAGACTTTGAGGATATATAATCATGGTCAGTCAGAGGACCCGTTTTCCTCCTTCTGCTAGGAAACTATACTGGGTTACCCAATGGGAGAAGAGGGAGAGATGGAGGGGAAACACAGCATTAAATACCTGTATGCCTCTGAGAAGGATCCACTGCCCACATCCTCCAGCTAAGCCCCCTTGGGGAGTAAAAAAAAATTATATATATTAGAAACTCGCCAGTTTACGCCATTTTTCCTTCAAAAATACAAATGGACAACTAAGAACCACAGTTATATTAGAAAAATGCAGCATAAAAGAGAGAAAAATAGCAAAAACAACAAAAAGGGCTGGGGAGGGATGGAGCAGTGAGAGAGAGAGAGATTTATTTTACGGAATTGACTCACACAATTATGGAGTCTGGATAATCTAAGATCTTTAGCCTAAGCCAGCAGGCTGAAGACCCAGGGAAGAGCTGATGTTGCATCTTGAGTTCAAAGACAGTTTGGAGACAAAATTCCCTCTTCTTTGGGGGAAACTCAGTCTTTTTTTCTTAAGGCTTTCAACTGATTGAATGAGGCCCACTGACAGTAGGGAGGGCAATCTGCTTTACTCAAGTCTACTGATTTAAATGTTTATCTCGTCTAAAAGCAATACCTTCACAGCAACACCTAGACTAATGTTTGACCAAATATCTGGGTACTGGGGCCTAGCCAAGTTGAAACATACAATTAATCATTTTAAACATTAAAACTTTCAGCAGAAAGACTGCTGAATGAAGTTTAGGAAACCTTCTAGAATGTAAACAGAAGAGAAAAAAAGATGAGATATATGAAGACAAAAGGATGTAAGTCATCAGATTGCAAGGGATCACAAAATAGCTACCAGAAGTTAATAAAAAATGAAAGAAGTCTGGTGTCTAAGAAAGCCTCCTGAAATTACAGAACATCAAAACTGAGAGAAGATTCTAAACATTTTCAGAGAGGAAAAAAATCACTTACAAAGGAATATAAATTAGAGTTGTCACCAGCAACCACTGGATGTTGGAAGAAAGTGATGTAATCTCTTCAAATTTTGAGGAAAAATGATATACTTGACTTCAAATTCTATTCCCAGGCAAACTATCAGTCAAAAAAGAAATCAGGAAAAAGGGATATTCAGACATATGAGGACTCCAAAAGTTTTTCTCCACATACTCTTGCTAAGAGAGTTATTCCAAGATTTACTCTGGCAATTCAAGAGGGTGAAAAAGTATCACAGGGAAAAAAACCACTCTTTATATATATACAAAGTAAAGAAGCTGAATTGTAGATGTGGAATGTAGTCTCTCAACACAGCAAAGACTGGACTTTACTTTCTTTTAATTTTTATTGAAGTATAGTAAATTTACAATGCTGTGCTAATTTCTGGTGTTCATCATAGGGATTTAGTTATACACGTATATATATTCCTTTTCATATTCTTTTTCATTATAGACCATTCCAAGGTATTGAATATAGTCCCTTGTGCTATACAGTAGGACCTTGCTGTTTATTTTATATATAGTAGTTAGTATCTATAAATCTTGAACTTCCAATTTATTCCTTATCACTCACTTTTCCTCCTGGTAACCATAAGTTTGTTTTCTATGTCTGTGAGTCTCTTTTGTAATAAGTTCATTTGTGGTGTTTTTTTTTTTAATATTCCACATATAATACATATAAGTGATATTATATGGTATTTGTCTTTCTCTTTCTGGCTTACTTCATTTGGTATGACAATCTCCAGGTCCATCCATGCTGCCGCAAGTGATATTATTTTATTATTTTTTATGGCTGAGTAGTATTCCATTATAGCAACCTAAATGTCCATTGACGGATGACTGGATAAAGAAGTTGTAGTACGTGTGTGTGTGTGTGTGTGTGTGTGTGTGTATACATATATATATGTATGTATGTGTGTAGATGTGTGTGTGTGTGTGTGTGTGTGTATATATATATATATATATATATATACCGATTTTATCTAGACCCTGAGGAAGGTAGAGCTTAAGGACCTGCTGACTTTCAGAAGCATTCTGAAGTGAAGTGCTCCATTGATTAGCTAACCATGAGAGGCCTAGTACTTAAATGAAGCTGCCATTGATTGATTGGGTTAGGTTTAAAACCTGTTCTGAGGGATCCTGTTTATGACTTGGGCTAAATAATAATCAGTATTGTCTTTTCTTGATCTTGGAGAAGAGGAAATTTTATTCTCAAAACCAAAAGGATGGTATGGGGCCCAGGAAAGGTAGATCCAAACAAGAGAAAAGAGAAGTTCCAGCTGGCAGTGGCTCAGTAGATCTAAAGAACTACTTAGTTGCTTTGGATCAGAAAGTTAGAAGTCTTCAGGAAACAGGCATTTAGTGCCAAAGAGGACTGAATAAAATATGAAGAATGCTGGGGAGTTTGGAGGACATGTGGTGTAGTACAGCATCATATTTATAAGCACACACTTGGGAGCTGACTGGCCATGCTTGAGTCTCACCTCTACTTGTTACACATCTCCACTGTGTAACCTTGAGTGTGCCACTTAAACTCTCTCTGTCTCTCTTGCTTCATCTATAAATTGACCACAGTAATAGTATCTATCTTACAGAAATGTTGTGAGGATCACACAACGTGTACTGTTATCTATTGCTTTGTTACAAATTATTGCAAAATTTGGGGGCTTAAAACAATGATAATCATTTATTATCTCTCATAGTTGCTGCGAGTGAGGCTTGGCTGGGAGACCTGACTCAAGGTCTTTGATAATGTGGCAATCAGGATGGTGAGGTTACTCATTGGCTGGCAAGTTGGTGCTGGCTGTTGATAGGGACCTTGGTTTCTCTTCCTCTGTCCTCTCCCAGAGATGCTGAAGTGTCCTTATGATAACAGTGGCTGGCTTCCCCCAGAGAAAGTGATAGAAAGGAAGAGCTTGGCAGAAGCTATCCTTTTCATGACTTAGTCTCAGAACCACATAGCATCACTTCTGCCCCATTCTACTCAGTAGAATGAATCATTCCATCCACCCTGCATTTGAGGGAAAGGAAGCATGCCAATAAATTTACACATATTTAAAAACTATGTACAGTATGAGTCTTTCTGTAGAAAACACCAAAAAAGAATATGGAAAAATTACATTTTCTTTTTTAACTTATTTGAAACAATGCAGACAAACACACACACACACACACACACACACACACACACACACACACACATTCAAACAAGCAGTGATTGAACTTAAATATAGAAACAGTATGGCTTCTTAAATTAATTTTACAGTTGATGTAGTTCACAATTATTAGTAGTTTTTGCCCTAAGTAGAAAGGTGTACCCATGGAGAGGTTATGAGTTCTGCTTTCCCTCAGGGCTCCTGAGAACAAAACATGACGTCACAGAGCCAGAGCCAGGCAGTACATTAGCCTGCATTCAGCAAAGCAGAAACAAAGCCTTATTTTATGTTTCCTTCTAGAATAAATAAATTTTTTAAAAAGAAACTAGCTTTTCTGTTTTCCCTTGGAGTTGAGCCCTGTTGACCTTAAAGATTTTACCTTTACCCCTATTTAACACTCCAGCAGGTAAGAATTGCTGGTGACTAGCCAGCTGGAAAAGTAGGACAGCCTCCCTTGAAACTCACTTTCCTTCTCCTTTTACCATGCTGGAAGTGGCTCATTTTCAGTCCAGAAGGCAGCATTCTCTGAACATCAGGACTGCTGTCACACACAGTCGCAGGGGTCAAATCTCAATAAATGTCAAACAAGTTGTTGATTTCACTCACTTTGCATCCTGTGTCTCCCTTAGGAGAGTGAAGGTTGGTTTAAAGAAGAGGGTGTATGGGAAAAGCTGGCAAAGTCTTCGTACGTGTTGGCAAAGCATAAAGGAAGGCAAGGTTGGCGAGAGACAGAATAATAATTACTACCATGCTTGGAGTGCCTAGTATATGCCAAGCATTTATAAACATAATATCACTTAT